TCTTTTCAATTTGTATCCATTTACCTATAAAAGTCTCTTTATAGCTTATTACTCCACTGTATAAAATGACCACATCTTTTTTATCCATTCCTTGGTTGATGGGCATTTGAGTTGTTTCCAAGATTTAGCAATTACAAATTACACTGCCATAAATATAGGTGCCCATGTATCATTGTGGCATAATATTTATAATAATTCTGGAAAAATACCCAGAAAGAGGGCCAGCCAAATAGCTCAGTGGATTAAAGCACCTACAAGTAGGCACAGGGGCCGGGGTTCAATCCCCAGGCCTGCCTTGCTGGTCCTGGCCCTGGCCCCGGCCCCAGCTCCGGCCCCAGCCCCAGGGCATGCTGAGCTGGCAATTGAGACTGGGCATGGTGGTGTGTACCTGTAATCCCAGCTTTTGGGAGGCTGTAAACAGGAGGGTCACTACAAGCCCAATCTAATAGTGAGAGCCTGAACACCCTGTAGACCCTTCCCTAAAAAAAATAAAAAAATAAAAAACCCAAAAGGGGAATAGCTAGACAAAATGAGACCTCTAATCCTAGTTTTGTGAGGAATCACCACACTGACTTCAACAGTTGTTGCACTATCTACACTCCCATCAACAGTGGAGAAAGGTTCCTTTCACCCACAGCCGTACCAACACTTGTATTGATTTTTTTGATGACAGCCATTCTTTTTGGAGATAGAATCTCAGTGTTGTTTTAATTTAGACTTCTCGAATGACCAATAATGTTGAACATATTTCCATATAATTACCATCTGCATTTTTTCATCTGAGATGTGTGTAATCATCTCAGACGCCCATTTTTTGATTGGGTCTTTGAATTTTGGGTGCCTGATTTTTTAAATTCTCTGTACGTTCTAGATAGAAGTCCTTTGTCTGAGGGAAAGTTGGCTAAAATTTTTCCCCAATTCGTGGTTTTTCTTTTTATTCTTGTTGATTTCTTTTCATGTGAAAAAGTTTTTCAAAGTTCAGATCCCAGTTGTTGATTCTTTGAAGTATTTCCCATGCAGTTTGGTTTTTGTTCATGAACTCCCTGCCTACCCCTATGTCTTCAAAATTTCCACCTACTTTCTCTTCCAGGAGATTTAGTGCTGTGTTTTAATATTTAGATCTTTGATCTCTTTTGACTTTAATGTGTAGTGAGAGAGAATGGGTACAGTTGAGTCTTCGGCATGAAGAAAGCCAGTTTTTCTGCACCATTTATTAAAGAAACTTTCTTCCTGTGGGCACGTTTGGTTCCTTTGTCAAAGTTAAGATGGCTTAGTATGTTTGGGGTTGGATCTGTATTTTCAATTCTGTTCAAGTAATCCTCTGCTTGTAGTTTGTTTTGTTTTTTTTTTTTTCCAATACCATAATGATTTTATCATAGCAGCTTTGTAGTACAATTTCAAGTCAGGGATTATGATACCTCCTGCCTTGTCTTTGTTGCTCAGAATTGCTTTTGCTATTGTCTCTTCTGGTTCCAAATGAATTTTAAGAATCTTTTCTCTAGGTCTGTGAAGTATGTTAATGGTATTTTTATTGGGATTGCATAAAATCTGTACAACAATTTTGCGAGTATGACCATTTTCACAATGTTCGCTCTTTCTATCCATGAGCAAGGGCTATCTTTCCATTTTCTGATCTCCTCTTCAATCTTCTTTCACAGAATACTGTAATTTTCAATGTACAGATCTTTTACTTCCTTTGTTAGACTGATTCCTAAGAATTTCTTTTCTGGGGGATGCTTCTGTGAAGGGTGATTTGCCTTAATTTCTCTCTTAGTGAGTTTGTTCTCTGTATAAAAATATTTCTGACTTCTGAGTGACTTTGTATCTGGCTGTCTTGGTTATTCTTCTCTCATGCTGGAACAAAATA